GAGGCGACAAGGCCCCCGTTCCTTCTAGGATACGGAGATGTGACCTTAGTCCTACAGACGGAAGATGGTGGAGTACCCGCACCAGTACTGAACGCTGCCCATGTACCAGAGGCCCCCTACAACCTCCTCTCGCTGTCTTCGTTGGCGGAGGAGGGCCACACGTATTCGGCGATGAAGGGGGGCCTAACGCTGACCACGAAAGCCGGGGGGGAGGTGTGGTTTCCCCGGACTGGAAAGCTACTGACCCAACGAGGCTATCAAATACAGCTAACGCTACACACCGCTTGTGCCGCACTTATTGTTCCTGACGATGCGAAAGCAGCCAACCCCACTGACCTCAACGAGTACCACCTCGCGCACGGCCATGCCCACGAGACATTGCTCAGGATCACGGCGGAGCAGCAGGGAGTGCAGCTGACGGATGGACCGCTGCTACCCTGTCTTGGCTGTTCGATGTCCAAGGGACAGGTGAAACCCGTCCAGAAGAGCACGAGCACACGCGCACCTACGAAGTTATTTCGCGCGTATCTCGACTTGGGGGGAAAGATGAAAACCAGGAGCATTGGTGGCAACTGGTACACACTGATCATCAGAGACGATTTCTCCCGTTGAACGCGTGTTTTCTTCTTGAAACACAAGTCTGACGCAGCGATTGGGTTTTAAAAGTTCCTGGCGGACTACCGAACGAAAGGGGTTCCGTGTGAGGTTTATATCGCACGTACCAACGGTGGCGGCGAGTTGTAGGGCAGTTTGCGGAAGTTTGCCGCAGACACGGCATCAAACAAGAGTTCACCCCCCCTCACCCCCCAAAATACACCGGTGTAGCGGAGAGAGCGCTAGGGTTGATCACTGATGCCGCGCTTGCGTCACGCATCCAAGCGACGCAACTGTTCCCCGACGCACCGAACCACCCCGGGTTGTGGGCCGAGGCCATTTCGTGTGCATGCCATCAGCTGAACTGCACCGCCACTAAATCAAACGAGGGAGACAAATCCGCCTACGAGATGTTCCACGACTCCCCACCGCCTGTCGGGTCTACATACCCGTTTCTCAAACCAGCCGTGTTCAAGTCGAGAAGAAAAGCAAAGTCGCAACCCAAGGGCGAAAAAGGATGGTACCTTGGTCCTGCCCACAATCACCCCCGTGACTGCGTTCGCATGCTAACCGAAGCTGGAACCGTAATCACCACCCGCAATTTCACCTGGCGCCACGTGCCCGCTGCATCGCCCGCTCCCCCGCAGCTGCTACCTCTCGCAGATGACGAGGAGGGCGGGGAGGGCGAGAGCAGAGCGGATGCATCACGCCAAGGTTGGGGGGGGGAGAGAGACTCAGAGAGTGAGTCCGACCCCGACGTGATGGAGGCTCATGCGCATGGGCAAGCGACGCCGTTTGTGCGCGAGGAGGCGCCGACGGCACCCG